TACAAAAAAAGCAGCGTCACTCGCATCTGGAGTGGTGTGGGGAAGGGCTCATCAGCAGAGGGGAGCCCTCAGGCTGGTTTCCTTCTTTCCAGTCGGGATGTGTTCTTTGGTAGATCTGTAGTATCAATGTCTGTTGGATGATGTTAGCTTAAGTTCCAGGTCCATTCATTCTTTGGAGGTTACAGATAGTCTCTGGATTCTACCTTCCCATCTTTATTTATTAGCTTGAACATATTTGTAAAAAGACACTCCTAGGCCAAGGAAGTAATTCAGTGACGGAGCATTTGCTAAGATGCCAGAAGCCCAGGGTTCAATACACAGCATTGGAAAAAAAGACAAAACCAAAATCAAAGACAAAACAACAACAACAAAACACTCCTTCATCTCCTCCTTGTCTAGTTACAATTCACACAGAAAAGGCAAGGCACGCGCTGGTTCTCTCCAGTTCCTTCCAGTTTTCTGACTAATGAGTTGGTTCACTAGCCTCTTCCCACAGGGCCTGAGTGCTCGTTCGCTGGCTCCCTTTATTTCGGCCACCACCCCGTTGTCCCCACAACTCACCCTCTCTCCTTCTCTTTCTTGTTTACATTGTGAACTCAGGATTTTAATAACTTCTGGTGGGTTTTAATAGACTATAGTAATAATTACCTTTGGGATGTTTGCTCCTTGCTTAGCCAGAAGCCTCTTCACCTGAGTTCAAACCCTATGACAATTTGTGACAAACTCCATTTGTGTATTCCCTGTCCCCTAAGCTGGAACTATTTGGCTGGGACTCCCCAGTTCTTCTTTGTAGGACAGTGACATGACTTCAGCTCCTCCAACCTGTGGCTGCTTTCTGTTCCTAGGCTCGTCATTCTCTCTGAGCTTTTCAGTGAGTCAACAGAGAAGGAACGGCTTTAAATAAAATCACTTCTTCCTATTGATACTCCCAAATTAAATTATGAGCTATTTTACTCTTTCCTCCCATACTGATGGCCTCAGCTCTCAATGACTCAAAAAATAGATTACACTAACTCTTAATTATTAATTTATTTCATTTCTAACCAATACATAGACCATTCTGATAGTAACAGCACCAGATGGGTACCAAGAGCCCCACTCCACTACTGACAATGGCTTGGCCTCATGCAACTCTCTCTATCCAGAGAGCATCCTACCCACATGATGAGGCACGTGTCTAGACTGAAAGGCAGTTGGACTTGTCCATGTCATAAGGCCTTCACAGTTTGTGGTAGGAGTGTGCATTTAAGAAGTGTTCATAACGAAGGAAGCATTCCACAGAAGTTTGAGAACTAAGTCTATTTGGGGCTAAAATCCCGCCCCCAGGAGGTATTGGAGAGAGGGACACCTAGACCATCTCAGTAGAGAAGGGGTGGGATGTCAGAGAGGCCGAGTTCCCACCAAAGACAAAAAGCAGGCTATGACTTATAAAACGCTCTGCAAAATAAACTGCCAATAAATAATCCAATAAATAAACAAATCTGTCGATTCTTAGAATTTTCTTTTCTTTTCCTTCCTTTCAGCTTTCTAAGACAGGTCTCCTACAGACAGGCCAGTTACCGAGGCTGGACCCCTGCCCCACCTCCCAAGTGCTGAGATTATAGGCGTGTGGTACCGGCCCTACTGAGAATTCTCTTTTTAAATTGTGTTCTCCAAGAATCAAAGAGCCCTGGCCATTCCAGGCCCACTCTGCTTGGGAGTGAGCTTTAAGCCAAAGTCAGAGAGAAAGTACTATTGTCCAAAGCCATCCTTTTGTTTTTAAACCCCAAACTATATCACTTAATTTAACTATAGGCTTCATTGATCAGACATAGTTGCCATATCTAAAAGTAAAACCCCTGAGCATAAGAACTCACCCTGTGAAACGTTTGAAAAGAAGAGCTTCTGGAAGCCAGGGACACTTGTTCCCAGGAAGGGACCAGGGAAGGTCTCAGGCTACAGAGGGAGTCGGTATATGTGGGAGGCCTGTCCTGTCTGGGGGTTCACACACCTAACCCAGTTCTCCACACAGCTCTACAAGCTTGGTGACATATACCAGTTCATGTCTGAGGAACACAGTAAGGCAAAGTGCAAAGCTGTATGACCGCTAGACAGGATCTGAGATAAGTACTCAGCATGGAGCTGACGTTTGGCTAAACCTCTCCAGCTTACGGGGGTACCACCGCAGACTCAGTCTGTTCTCACTCTCCCCATTGTCCAGAGGAGAAAGTCGAGGTTCACAAAGACGTGAACTTGCCCAGGTAATTGTCCTGAACCAGGGCTCACACGAAGGCTTAAGACTCCAAGCCTGAGTTGTCCCACTCTTGGTTGCCCTTGGTTCTAACACCAGAATAAAGACAAGAATGGAAGACGGATGAGAAAAATCACAGAAAGAAAGGCTGAACGTGACAGCCGCACCAATGCTGAGGCCTTGTCATCAAAGTCAGTGAGCATTTATGAAAGTACTACAAAAATAATGAAGCTTTACGTGAAAAGGCTCCATGAGACAAAATGCAAAGCCAACACCTTTACCATCTCAGCAAGGTGGCGGGGGCAGGGAGCTTGTTTTTTAAATTTTTCTGTAATTAAAACTTTTCTTTAAAAAAAAAAATCTATGTTATTTTAAATATTTCAAAGAGAGAAAGAAAGGACAGAACTTTCCATTTTGCAAATGTGTTCCTTTTCTTTTTCATGAGTTTATAAATAATTTTGTCCAAAAACCACTAATGTGCTTTTGGTAAGTCACTGTTTATTGTGCTCCCCAGTGCTCGGCAGTCCGGTCAAGGTATCTGGAGTTCCATGATTAGTCCCATGAAGACCTTGGCCTTGCCTCATTTCTCCCACTGGTACCTACCTTCCAAAGCTATGGGGCGGGGGCGGGGGGGGACAAGAAGGCTGGTCTGCAGGCTATGTACTCCACCTAGCACCTCTCCGTAGTGCTCAGTGAAGGCCGCTGCCAACCCTTGCGGCATCTCCCCACCCCTGAGGTCCCGGGGTGAAGGCTGGAATCAGGAAACACGAAAACAAAACAAAACTCAGTCTTCACAGCTCATTTTGTCTTAGACAAAAAACAAAAAAACAAAAAAAAATCCAAAGTTACACATTTTTATTCTGTTGCTTAAACTCCAACTTTTTTTTGTTTTGTTTTGTTTTGTTTTGTTTTTCGAGACAGGGTTTCTCTGTGTAGCTTTGCGCCTTTCCTGGAACTCACTTGGTAGCCCAGGCTGGCCTCGAACTCACAGAGATCCGCCGGCCTCTGCCTCCCGAGTGCTGGGATTAAAGGCGTGCGCCACCACCACCCGGCTAAACTCCAACTTTTAAGTATTAAAAAAGCTTTTGGAAAAAAAAAATACAGTTAATGGCTGTGATGTTCTCATCTGCCATGGAGCAAAAAAACACCTTTACCACACAGCTCCACTGACTAGGGACATGAGACCTCTGTTCCAACGCACCTGCTCCATCCATCCAGCTGCTGCAGTGTGGCTGCGGGTCTGTGTGGGGGAGTCTCTCAGGACCACCCAGATTCTCACACATCTGGATCCCCATTACTTACAGGCAGCAATACGTGGCATGCCACTGGTGTGATCCACTTAGCAACCCACAGACTTTGGTTCTGTGACAGAGGTACCAGGGCTGAGCTTGCTCAGGTCACTGTGCACCCGGCACTGAGAAGCTTGCTATTTTTAGCCCATGGTAACAATGCTGAACATTGGCAAAGCTTCGGTAGAAGTCGGAAGGGCCATCCCAGTGCTGGAGCTGTGGTAGCCTTTGACACACTTAGGGGACGGGGTGGGTAAGGTCTGGAAGAAGCGTTGTAAGTTATTTTAAACTCCTAAGGTTTTGATGTACAAGTAAGGTTTTGCTTTTTACATTATCCAGTTTCTGAACCAAAAAGGCCTTCGGTTTCTTCCTTCCTCAGCTGGTGTCCAAGCATTCACTGCTTTGCCAGCGCCTCACAGGCAAAGGGTTCACAGGGAGTTATAAACTTTAAAATCGGGCCGATGTTGCTTCTTTATAGCAATACTTTCTGAGGGAGACAATAAAAAGAAAATAACTGCCAACCAAAACTCTCTTCTTTTTTTTTTTCTTTTGGTTTTTCAAGACAGGGTTTCTCTGTGTAGCTTTGCGCCTTTCCTAGAATTCACTTGGTAGACCAGGCTGGCCTCGAACTCACAGAGATTCACCTGCCTCTGCCTCCCGAGTGCTGGGATTAAAGGCGTGTGCCACCACCGCCTGGCCAAAACTCTCTTCTTAAAATTATCTTTTGGGTCAGCAAGGTGGTGCAGCAGGTAAAGGTGCTTACCACCAACCCAGACAACCTGAGTTCAATCCCCATAACCTCCACGATGGACACAGATATCTAAGTTGTCATCTAATCTTCATAAGAGCACTGTGGTATATGCCTCACACATAAATAAATAAATTTAATGAACATTTTTAATGATCTTTGGATTTCAGTAACTTTTTCCTGCCCAGAATTTTTTTTTTAAGGGAGATTAGTCCAAACCTCAAGACAACAGACCCAACTTCATGCTCTCATCCCAAGCCTGGCCTTGGATGGTGGCTGCTGTCAACAGGCAGGGATGTGTGGTTATTTCTGTGCCTAGAAGAGATCAACAGGAAGCTATTAATGCACACTGGCTGATTTAGTTCGGGGCATCTCACTCTCTGTGACACTAGCTGTGTGTTTAGAGGTCAGGTTTGGTTTGGTTTCATTTGTTGTTTTGTGTGTTTTCACATTTTTATGTCCAAACACTGTCTCTGTAGCCAGAGGACCAGGCAACAGTGCACTTGAACCCCAGGCCCCAGAAGGCTGCCCTGTAGGGGTGCAGTATCATAGAGAAGATGGCCTCCCTGAAACCAGGAGACAACTTCACAGGCCTAGGCAGCCTTGCATGCTGATGGAGTGTCTCCAGGGAAACATGCTTCCTCGGCATTCAGCGGGTCTCACTAGAGCACTGGCTACCAGCTCAAGCAGCAGCCACCTCTTAAAATACATGTGGCATAATAAAAATAGAGGG